ACACTACAAGGTCATCATCATCATCACCAACTACTACTACTACCTGCTCACTACAAGTCCCTCCGGCTCGTAGTACTTGATGGCCAAACCGGCATCAATGAGATCCTTACGCACTAGGGGCTTGGCCTCTTGCACTGTTTTGCCAGCATAGGGACCTGAGAAAAACACCCAGTAGGAAATAGTGACACCTAACAGCTCAGTACCGATAATCATCTTTCCCTGATAGAAGCCCTTATTATAGCACAGCTTCTTAGCCTCAGTAAGCTTGTCCTTCTGCTTGTGGGAGTCGATCTTCATAGACTCGCACAAATACGCAGCAGCCTCGTCACCCCACTCTGGCATGTCCTCAATACGAATAATAGGTACAACCTACAGACGGAATGATAACTGCCACCACCGAGCCCTGCCGCCCACCTCAAAGGGCACACACCACTCCTCCTTTACTCCGTACTGATCACGCCAGTTCTGTCGAGTCTTCCAGTCCTTTAGAGCCGCATAGTCGTCGGGAGCATCAGCAGGGACAGATGTCACAATACCGGTACCCTTGCCCTGAACAGACCATTACCAAACATGAAACCAACACAGCGACTATGCTGATACTCACCATGCTGATGGTCAGCAGAGGAAGGGCATATACAGTCGAGTACTTCGCAAGAGGGGCACTCAAGGGTGTACCAAGGAGGTCGGAACCCTTCACAGTACTCAGCTGTACAGGACAGTCCTCCCCTAGCCAAGCACACTATTGCCCGAAGACTAAGTCCATACGGCACTTACCATCCTCATTCTTGGTCTTCGGTCCAAGCTCCTGCATAACCATGTTCAATGCTGACCTATAGCTGCAAATAAAGGCCTGATAATGAACAGGGAATCATACGACGACTCTACTCCAAGATCAAACTAACCCCAGTGAATTAGGAACCGATAACTCACCTCTCCATTGTTCATTTGGAAGACACCATACTCCGCAGTGGGGAGTACAAAGCAGTTGGTCTGGCCATACATGGTCTCGGGCCTCAGAGTGGCGGCCACG